ACGGAGGCCACTCGGACACGTTCCGCACAACTGTACTCTGTTTTGGCTAGTCAATTACGGAATCGACCTTTGCTTTTGATCAAGCCCTATGCAGAAGTGAGAAACTGCTTTGAAGCTTTTCGAATCTTGCGCAATGAGATGGAACCGCAGCAACGTGCTGGGTCTTTGGCGCCTTCTTATACGGCCTTTGATTCAAGTCGCACGTTGCATGAGAAACTGGTTCAGTTTCAGGAATACATCAAGGTCTATGAGAACTCATCAGGCCAGAAATATTCGGATGACATGGCTCTTGCAACTGTTGTTTAAGCTTTGCCGGAACCCCTCAAGAGTCAAGCGCAGATCAAGTTGAAGCCCACAACCACTTACGTTGAGGTTCGTGGCTGGGTTGTGCAATATGAATGATTGAACACACAGTGAGCTCTTCTTTCGCATCAGATGGCCCCATGCCTATGCAGGTCGACCAGATCAAGGGAAAGGGCAAAGGAAAGAAGGGTAAAGGCAAGAGCAAAGGGAAAGGCAAGTACCAACAGCATGACCTTCAGCACAATCAAAACCCTCACAGCAAAAGGGAACGGAGGTGACAGCAAAGGCGGCAAGGGCAAAGACCAGCGCAGCGCTTTCGCACACAACATGGCAAAGGTGGTGGCCGGAAACCGGAAACTGCAGGTATGGAGCGCGAGTGCCGAAAGAAACAAAATGAGAGACAAGACGAGGGACAAAGCCAGCCAGCGAAGAAGCAGCGTGTTGAAAATGTACCGAAAACGGAGCCAACTCGAGACATGTCCGAAGTGCAAAGAGAGTGTTTGCAATTTCGGGAATACGAAATCCCGCTAAAGTGGGTACAGAAGCACTGGCTGAGGCGAGACTTCGGGGCCTCCTGTACTTGGTAGGGTGTGTGGATGGAAATGATGAGCCAATCGGTTGCACTGACTACAAGGTTTTGGAGAACAAGGCGCAAGCCAACAACGCTGCAGCTAAGATAAGGTGCAGCGTCTTTCTAAGCAGAACTATTCTCATCCCGCTTCTGTGCAGACCATCATCAACCCTATTCTGGTTTCGGCGCAGGCGCAAGGAAGCGAAGGACACGTGCTTTCCTCAGACAGAGCTTGAGCCATGACGGGATGGATCAGAGCATTTTCCTTCTGGTATTCATGTGCATTGTTGTCAGTGCAATGTGTAGCACGTGTTGCGTTCCGATTTTCGGATATCTATTAAGCATTGGCTTGCAGAAGCATCTGCACAAGATGTGTATTTTCTCATTTGCGGCGATTGCATCGAATTTGGTATTTTTCGTTGTGTGGAATGATGATTTCTTTGGCTGCGTGAATTGCACTTTTATTACTTGCACAGGAGTGCTTGGGTATTTCATTGGATGTGTGCATGACGAGAGGTTAATTTCAAATGATTTGCCATCAAATGGTATTTAC